TTCTCGCTCGTGCGCGCGCGCACACACACAAACACACACACACACACACACACACACACACACACACACAAACACACACACACACACACACACACACACACACACACACACATATATATATATATATAGACGTACCATTCTCCTATCCTCCGAGAATCCGATGCCAGTATAGTCCACACCGTCCGTCTTGGCGCTGATCTCGAAACTGATGTCGTTAGTGTCGTCATTGTACCGCCAGGTGGCGCGTACAATGGCAGGCGGGCACGCCCGTGGCCAGGCAATCAAAATCGCACACCGCAGGCTTCTGCCACCTCCCGTGACAAGGCGTGTTGCTGAAGTCCTCGCTCTCCTTGGCTGCGCGAGGCAGGATAGAGAGTGATATATATACCACCTGCTGTGTAAATATACGCCGGTACAAGTATTTCTAAGATTTCAGTAACGTCGATAGCTTGATGTATTTCCGCTGCGATTGAAAACGGGTGGGAAATGGACAGGAACTATAACAGCGACATATAAATATCGCGCAGAAGCTGCATGTGTGTGACTCAGCATTCTTATTGCAATTGGCAGATAGTTATTATAATTATTATAGATAATAATTATTAGTAAAACGACTCGTACGTTCTCCGGTCGGTTCTCCGGTCGGTTCTCCCTCGGGTTCTGCCTCTGCTTCCGGCTCTGCTTCTCCCTCCTTTAGCAGGTATGGGAAGTTCTGACACTTTGCCGTCAGATCTTTGTAAGGCAAGAAATATACACTTTCAGAAGTAAACGTGTGCGGCTTTACCAGGAAATAATCAAGAGCGTATTAAGGGTATGCTTAATACGCTCTTGATATAATCGGTAAACAACACACAAAACATACAGTTGTAGTTACAACGCAGAACAAAACAACGAGCAGAATAAATGGTAATTTATCTGTTTGCGATTTAGCTTACCGTCGGGCCGCCATCCAAAACCGATCCATGTTTTAGTCTCCGCTTTCATTACGAATTCGATCTCCTTGATTTGCTGGAATAGTATACGAACAGTGGTGTTGTTACAAGGCTGGGTTACGACGAGTATTAAAAAAACGCAGGTTTGTTACGAAATCTAAATAGGGACAAGATTATATGTTTCCGTGAAAAATTTACCTCAATAATCAATAATTCCGTATAGAATATTTCGACTCAATTAAATCGTGATAACCATAAAGCACGAACGGGCATGTCAACGCACAATAATAGTGCAAAAGGCATGAGACTTACGGGTAAAATCCTCCAGTAAAGATTGAATCTGTCGCCAAACTTCACTTGCCGATAGTTTCTTGGTTTGAACACTGGTTCCTTCACAGACGACACTGCAACCAAAGCGATATTTATTTAAACAACTTAATCATATATACGTGTTAGCTAGAATTCATCCGGTAGTGTCGTGTTACCTCGGCATCCGTGCAAGTGTATTTAATTAACTTAGATGCGTGAGCAAAATGTTTCGTGCGACACCCGAGGGTAGACCTTTGCGTGCTCGGGTGCTTATAATTTTCCCGGCCGTGCGATTTTCAATTATTTCGACCTTTAACTCTTGAAGACGTTGTTGCCGTCAACGATCTGCTATTGCGAACATGTTTGCCATTAACTCTTGTGCGCACAGCCACGGAGACATTTGGAGTCAGTTGCCTCGAGCTTACCCATGTCGCACTTGCGTCCGAACCATCCCCAGTTGCAGAAGCACTGCTTGCGCGGGTAGCTACTGGTGGAGACAGCTACACATGCCCCGTGGTCACTGCAGTCGAGGCTTGAGACGCACTCGTCTGCAAGCGAACGCAAAGATCAGAAGTGTTAATTTCCCCCGTGCGTGTACGTGCAACGGTAAACGACGGTGTCCATGCATGACCACAAGCACGTGCGTAAAATAGCGAAGACTACAACCAAGTAAGCGAAAAGAATACGATAACATGACTAGGTGAATTATATCGTTGCGCATTCCTCTTCTCGGCGTAATGCCTCTGGCACATCAGCCGATGTGCAGTTGCTAGCACTATATCTTACACACTCCTACGGAAATCGCGCCTTGTAAAAAAAAAACACAACAACAACAACAACAACAACAACAACAACAACAACAGCAGCAGCAGCAGCAGCAGCAGCAGTAGCAGCCATCTTACCTTTATTTTCGCAGAACTCGCCGCTGTATAGGCGATCGCACTCACACCTCCCGGATCGCATCACGCCATTACCTGAGCATATCGGGTCCACACCAGTTGCTGGCACCGTGAAAACAAAATGTCAACCGAGTTGAGTTAACATATAACGACAACATTCGCCTTAAAGTGATTACGTCACCGTAAATACTAAAAATAAATCAAATATTTCCACTTTTTCACAAAATATAAGTAATTCTGTTTACTTTTTATGGTTAAATTGCTGCATTATTACTTCATATTTTACTATATTGTTCGATGTGAAAATACACTCGTGACTCATACATAGCACATAGCAAGCAATTAATGTCAGGAACATAATGTCAAATCGTCTAGGTTTTTTGAATTTTTAACTAGTTGAGAAACAATCTTATCAGGTAAGAATTTGACGATACGTTTAGTCCAGTTAGTTCTTACTTTTAATGTAAAAAAAATGGCAACAAAAATTTTACAAATTTTACCATAGAAAATTCGTGACGTAGTCAATTTAAACAATTTCACGATCTGTAACCGCGATAGCGTTATAAGCATTTTACGAATTACACGCGCGCACGCGAAGGCGACACACGTGGTGTTATTACGGCATGAATTGCTCGAAAATGTGTCACGTAATGTCTGCGCATATATACACAAGGCTTTTCTCTTTTCTTCGGTACACAAATCACACGCATCGTTCGACCCACTCAAACGTATTAAACAAACTCATCGCGCACAAGTGAGTGCGCGCGTGGGCATATGTGATTTATGTGTGCGTGCGTTCGTGCGCGCGCGTGCGTGTGTGTGCATGCACGTGCGTGCGTGCATGAATGTGCGTACGTGTGTACGTCTGTGCGTGCGTGCGTGTGTGTGTGTATCCATGTCCGTTCGTGCATGTGTGCGAACGTTCACAGGCCTACACGTAGGGAACCTCTCTAACTGTTTACTCCACATTAGGCCTATACATCGCCGAGTGGCGCTTTTTTAATTTACATCCGTGCTACATATGTTTAGCTTCGTATCTGTCATATAACATTGTCGGCGGCCGCATACCGAAGAAGTTGATGTTGACGTGCCCACGCTGCGAACCGTCTCTGCCGTGGTACTTGAGCTCGTCAAGCTTGTAGAACTGTTGGTCGGAGTTGGCACTGGCTCGCTCGAGACCCGACTGCGGTCGGTGGTAGATGTGGTTGGCCTCGTGCTCTTGTCCCAGCGCCCAGATCACCTCGAGCTCCGAGTCAGTGAAAGAGTAGTCGGTCCTTTCGTTCGCTAGGGAAAAAATTCGTTATTCTTGAATGTGGAATTTTTTTTCTCAGACGCTTACGGCAGAGTCGCGTGTATATGTATATTATAGACATGCGTTTTTTGTGATAAACCTAACTGGTAGATTCCGACCAATTTCATCTCACGCTCTCGCTTTCTCTCTCCCCTTTCTCTCTCTCTCTCTCTCTCTCTCTCTCTCTCTATATATATATATATATATATATATATATATCCCCCTCTCCCTCTCCCTTTCGCTCCCTTCTCTCTCTACTTTTCTCGTGCTCTCTCTCTCTCCATCTCTCTTCTCTCCCCCTTCTCTCCCACTCTCTCTTCTCTCTCCCTCTCCCCTTCTCTCACGCTCTCTCTCTTTCCCCTCTCTCTCTCCCTCCTGCCCGTTTCCCTGCACCCGGTCCCAATATCTCCGCAATGACGTGGCACGTGCAGCTACGCCACCCCGCTCTCATTCTTTTCTCCGCATCATCCCTCTCTCTCTCTCTCGTCTCATCTCTCTCTCTCTCTCTCTCTCTCGTCTATCTCTTCTTCCCCTCGTCCCCTTTTTTCATCCTACGCTCTCATACCGTTCTCTTCCCGTGCTCGGATCTTTCTCCCGGTCTGTTTCCTTCGCCCATCCCTCCATCTCTCGCCCGCTCTCTCTCTTCTCTCCCTCCCTATCTGTCGCTCTCTTTCTCCTCTCGCTTCGCCAGCCCGCCACCCCTCCGCTCCCCTCACCGCGCAGCTTCCGGCGGAAGATAATCGTCGTCATGCCGTCCTCCTCGTATCCGGTCGCCGCCGTCAGGCTCTCCTCACCGCCGAAGAACTCGTCGAGCTGCGGCGTCGATCTGTCGCGACTGTAGTAGTCGCCGACGCGTGATGTGTAGCCGCGAGCGGCGCCTATTTCACGCAATGTTCCGAAGCAGTCCATCGGTGCCAGGAGGCGGTGTCGACCTGCGGACAGCAAAAGGACCACGATTAACACATCAGAAGTTCACGATGGGTTATGAAGTTATGATGTTCTCGTGGCCGGCGCGTTGGCCTGCGAACACAAAGTCGCTCAGTACATCAGTAGTTTATGCAGCAGTCCATCTCGTGACCAGGAGGTCGACCTGCGGACAGCAAAGGACGATTAATACATCAGTAGTTCACGATGGTTATGAAGCGGTCCATCTCGTGCCAGGAGGTCGACCCTGCGGACAGCAAAGGACGATTAATACATCAGTAGTTGATGATGGTTTATTATTCATTGTTATTATATTTATTATTATTATTATTTTGAATCTTAGAAACAGTGTATAAAATATGTCAGCGCTTACCTTTGTTTGAAACCTTTTGGGTGGGGGGGCACTTTTTAGCCTCTGCTTCCGGCTCTGCTTCCGGTTCACCCTCGGCATGGGGTTCTCCCTCAGCATGTGGTTCTCCTC